CAGAGCAACTATTCTTAATGCAAAAAATTCCTAACTAAATTAATTTTTTTAACAAGTTTTGAATAAATGTTAATAAAACCTGAATCTTCAAATCTTTGAATAAGATTTATATCACATTGTGAATTAGTTAACATTTATAAATTTTCTGGTGCATTATTCGTGTTAGTTTTAATGGTAAAGAAAAAAGTGTAAACTCAGACTTCATCTTTTCTAACACTGTATTTCTAACAAACGCTTAATTGAAATGTCTTCGTGGGCCGCATAAAACGGCTTCAGGGTCTGCATGTGACCCATGGGCCACCACTTTGAGACCACTGCTGTATGAGATATTAATTTCAGTGCTTAGAAAAGCTTAGAAAGCTCAAAATACTATAGAAGCCTCTATGACAGATAAAAGATTCAAGAATAACCTAATATTTAAGATATTGAATAATGCACTACATACCATTCATATTATGTGTAAAGGCATGGATAGTTTAGATTCTCGGTTTTCTTCTGCTTTTGCTTGTTTGTTATCAGATAATATTTGCCTTAGAAACCCTCAAAATGATTATGTGAATATTTGGAATTCATTTTTACTGTTTACACCTGTAATCATCTCTTTCTGGAGACCAAATTTTGTACATAACTAGAGAAACCCTTTCCAATTGAGCTTATACATTTAGTGATAAAACTTATTTGTTAGCATAAGGTCTAACAAATCAGTTTTCTTTTAAAATTGGGGACATTTTTCTGCCCCAGATGTGTAATAATATTATTTAGAAAGTAATGCAGAATATATTTAAGATTTTCTGTATACTTATTTACTTTAAAATACAGTCAAAAGTTGATAATCCGGACTCGTCAGGACTTCGGCGATTCCGGATTATAGATCATCAGTTTAAATCTGGTAAGATGGCATGCAGAAATTACAAAATTAAAAATATGAAACCGTAATTTAAGAAATAAAGAACAATTATGATCTAAAGGGTATCAACATTTACAAAAAGAAAAGGCTTAATATTTATTTGTTTACTTTATTAAACATTTCTTTCAATGTAAGTTGTTTAAGTTGCTTCGTTTCATGAGATAATACTTTTTCTTTAATTCTATTAAACAGACATAATTTCTTGTTACGAAGTTCTGCTGTTCAAGTCCTGTAATTGCTGTGTCGAAAATACCAACTAATTTGTCAATCGAAATTTTTTCATTTTCAATAACCTCTGTGTCACTTTTTTCACTATCGGAAGCGAATTATAATGACGAGGAACTTGATTTAAATCATATCAAAGACGGAGTACATCGAGATGAAATACTACATTTAGTAAGGAATTATAAGCCAAATAAAATAAAAACATCTGCCCTGAAGATAAAGATAGTGCTGACAGATCAACTTCCAATTCATTGCGCACCGCGTCGTTCCCCCCTCTGCGCCGCAGAGCAGCGTGAAATTGATAAACAGATTTCGGAATGGTTAAGAAACAAAGGATATGCCTTTATCCATTTATTGCAGCAATTCCACTTTTTGTGTAATGGACTTCGAAACATACTTTCGCTTTGTAGATCCTTTACATATTAGTAAATATATATCAGAAATTCTATTTGACATAATCGAAAGTTCAAGCTTACTTTTATAAAATTGCTCTAACAGTCTGCAAAAAATAATAAGCCGGATCCAATTTGAAGATTAAGGAACAACGCAATCTGCAACATTAACTGAATTAGATAATTTTAGCTTAGCTTATACCGTTCGTTATACATTAAACGCGCATGCGTAAACATATTATGCGCATGTGCACACGCATATTCGCAGCCGTAAAGTTCTTACGCGCACGCGTAAATGCCTATGCGCACGCTTCAAGGCGACGCATGCGCAGAAAATTTGTAGCTTTGAGGTCCAGATTATGGGTGTCCGAATTAACGACTTTTGACTGTACCACACAATTTTAATAGTTGCAATAAAAAACTGCTTTCGTAATTATCTATAGATGAGTAAATTTCATATGCTAGGATTAATATCATCATAGTTACCAGTTTAAGTAACAAACATTCCATACAGCAATAATAAACAAATAAGAAAAATTTTACATGGATTTTTTATCATTGCAAATGATGAATATCGTAAAAGTATTATTATTTATACCAATTGTTTTTAAACAATTTTATTGTGGCTTTATCATTATTATTGTCATTAGCATTTAGTACGCCATCTAATTTTTTATGGCTCATTATCAAAGGCCTTTTTTAGCACTCGGAAGCAACTGAAAATTTCATGTTCTGTCCTGTTTGTCAAAATGCAATGGGGAGCATCAGTTTGGTTCCCTTTGGATGCTGTGCCTGGGGACAGATGTCCCACCTTTTTTCCCTAGCTGCACTACTGCTCATTTTTAACATAGCTTTGTAGTTTTGCATTTTATTTATAATGTTTATTCTGACATACAGTGATATCTCAGATTTATATATTAATTCCTACTGATAACATTACTCAAGATGATTGAATCTAGACAGTTTTATTTTTATGTTTATTTATTTATTTATTATTATTTGATAAATACAATAACACAGTAATTTTAACAACTAGTCATCTTAAAAGGAAGCATTATTTATATTTAATGAAAATTTTGCTGTAATACAATTAAAATATGTAATAAAAAATTTGCATTGTAAAAAATAAAATTAATGGTATTGCAGCAATAAAAAATATCCTACCTGAAGACAGACAGATAATTTTTTCTTTCCATAATAGATTTTATTCCTTTTAAGATTGTCATTATTTATTGCTTATCTGAATAAATAGTTTGGTTCCCTTTGGATGCTGTGCCTGGGGACAGATGTCCCACCTTTTTTCCCTAGCTGCACTACTGCTCATTTTTAACATAGCTTTGTAGTTTTGCATTTTATTTATAATGTTTATTCTGACATACAGTGATATCCAGATTTATATATTAATTCCTACTGATAATTACTCAAGATGATTGACTAGACAGTTTTATTTTATGTTTTTTATTTTTTATTATTATTTGATAAATACAATACACAGTAATTTAACAACTAGTCATCTAAAAGGAAGCATTATTAATTTAATGAAAATTTGCTGTAATACAATTAAATATGTAATAAAAAAATTTGCATTGTAAAAAAATAAATTAATGGTATTGCAGCAATAAAAATATCCTACCTGAAGACAGACAGATAATTTTTTCTTTCCATAATAGATTTTATTCCTTTTAAGATTGTCATTATTTATTGCTTATCTGAATAAATATCTTCTCAACTTAATGAAATTTAAATCTTCTTGTAACCTAAGCAGACATGATATTTTTTGCAGGCTACATTTCTTTAATTTCTTCAAGAATATTTACATTTTGAAATTGTAGAGAAATTGACAAATGCAAGTTTTTTCTTCATACAAATTCAAGAGTTCTAAAATATATTATCCATTGATTCTCTAATTAAATCTTTTTTGGGGAGTTTCAGAAATATCATGTTTTAAGAGGAGTCCTACCTAAGGTGTAGAAGGCTCACCAGAGGCCGAGCGTTAAAGTGGCTGAACACTGGTAGTTTGGTCCGAGGTTTGAATCCCACGAACGGGCTGGCTACATAGGCGTTTTCGTGGTTTTCCCCATGTGTAACATGTATACGAGCCAGTTTCTCTTAAAAAGTCCTTCACGAAGGCATCCCTCCTCTTAGGGAGATAGCTCTCGAGGCTTTGCCATAATCACACACACATACACACCTAAGGTGTAGAAAAGCTTATACCAGAAGTTTGCATCAGGTGGCATAAATCAGGGTATTATTGTATATCTTTAAAAGGAACATTCGATTGTTTTAAAGTGTACAGTGAAAATTGTTTAACATGAAATTGAAAGGACTGAAATATTTTTTCGTGTTGAAGGATATTATAAAAAAAAATCATATATTCAAAAAATTAAGTTTGTTAGAGTACATTTGCATATGCATGTGTTTAATAAAAATCAATGAAACAAAAACATCCACAAGAACTTAATGAAATTTAATAAAAATATTTCAAGTTTTTTTAAAAACAAAACATTTATTGAGTTTTTGGAAAGTAATCTGATATTTTTCTGTGCATTGCCTTTTTTAGTATCAAACTGTTAATAAATTGTTCAATCTCGTTCATTTTTTTATTTATTTCATCATTGGAATGTGCGTCTAAATAACTGCGCATACTTTTTGTGATGTTTCTCATTTCGGAAACAGGAGCTGCATTATTCAATTCATTTTCGTCCTCAGAATCTGCATCAATAATAATTTGAGCTTTGAACAAACTTCAAAATGTCTTTGTCATAGTTAGGGCTGTACACACATTATCATCAACTACTGCAACGAATTCTTCCGATAATACAGTAGGAAAATCCAATAATACAGAAACTTTCTCAAACAGTTCATCAAGTGTTGGGCTCAGTTTCAATATCCTTTGCCAAAGAATCTGATACTTTTGAGAATCATACATGACGAAAACAATTTTCATTCAACCTTGGAGTCTTTGAATTCCATGCAGAGTGCAACGTATGAACCAAAGTTATGGATTTTATGCTCATACTGTTATGTACTCGTCACCAAATTCCAAAGCCAACTGATGAGAGATGAGATGTTTGTAGGGGTGGAAGGTAAAAGTAGCTTAGATAAACAAAACTGGCTCGTGTCACAGGCTATTCCAGGGGTATTTCAAAGCGAAGTTAGCCTCCTTTCTACAAAACACGTGAAACCACCTCTCTTTCATTTCACATGCCTCTAAAATTTCACCTGTGAGACCGGTGTTTTAAGTATTTTGTTCATTCCCAGAAAGGATATCTTTTCATGTTAAACGATTTTTGTTTTGTGTTAACAGAGACAAAATGAATGAAAATATATACTAGTTGTTTGTCGGGACCGTTGTATTATTTCGTGTCAACCGATATTTCGTCTTAAGTGTTTTCGTGTGGAACATATTTCACTGTATATGCATTTTGTCTGTTGAGTATTCATAGTAAAGTATATTTTTATTTTTTTATTTTTAGTGAAGCATTTTATTCTGGAGAATGGGGAAGTGGTGCTGGAAAGGTAGTAATCAATTAGTTGTTAAAATATCAGTGTAGCTCTTTTTTTACCCCCAGTGTTATGTTTAATTTTATGTGTTCTCAAATATTTGTAACTCTGGTAGCAAAATTAAAAATTATGTAGAGACAAAAAGCTTAAAATATACTACTTCTAAGAATCCAAGAAATTCGTCTTCAACCACAAGTGTTTATTTTTTTAAATTTATTTATTTTAATTTTATTTTTTAACTCTGCGTTAGATTTTCTTTGTCTGAAATTTTCAGATACATTATTTATTTTGTTTGCTTGATAATATAATATAGCCTTACTTTTTAATCAACCCTTGAAGCGGCAAGTCCATATATATACGGCCTAGAATATTTTTTGTGATATCTGTAAGAACGTACATATACTTGCATAAATCCAGGTATGAAATACCAGGAGAGGTTTTACATTAAAATCAAAAAAATTAATTTGTTCTCATAGTAGTTTTGGGAAATTTATGCTTTTTTAGCGAAAATCCTGGCCGCTGAGAGGGTTAATTAAATTTGATACATAAAAAAGTATTGAAAAGAAATTTTCTCTATCATTTCAGTTTTTAGACTATTTATAGTGCTTTTTCTATAAAAGTTACATTAATGAAATTAAAATAGCACTCCACCAGTGGCCAAGCAGTTAAACATGCTGAATACTGGCAGTTTTTAGAATAACTGTTTTTGTTGATTTTTCCGATAATAATCCTATGTGCTGTATCTGACTTCGAATCTAAAATTTTCTGAAGAACACAAAAACCTTGTCTAAAACTTAAAGGTTTATTTAACTGGACTTCAACACTGATGAAAACTTAACATCACAAACGAAAACTTAACATCTTGGTGGAAAACATTCAAAGTGCTTTAAAGTAACAGCTATGCCGGCACGGTGAAGAACACTTTCTTTTAAAAGACAGAATCCATCTAGCCCTTTCGGCGTATAGCTCCATTTCGCTGAATTCAGACATCCGCTCCTACGTGTTTTGGACTTAAACGGCCACGGCTGGAACTGGAATAGGACTGGATCAGGACCGGAACTGGACTGGAACAAGACGGGAACCGGAACAGGACTGGATCCGCAACTAGACAGGAACCGGAACAGAGCGGAAACCGGAATCTCTCATCCCCTGGCTTCTCCCCGGGCAGGTCTATTTTCTGGCTCGAACTAAAAGGAACTGCGGTGCCACTAAGGAAAGCACCTCCTTTTATTGCCGGCGGTTGCCGTTACTACAGGCGACTTATGCAAATATTTAACAGTTTTATATGTATTCACTTCTATAATACATGCAGGACATTGATATTCATTTTGAATAAAACATTTGTTATGTGCTTTATTTTTATATATTTTTACATTGATTTTAATAATTAAGAAATGTTTTAAGTACTTTGTAATTTGTATAAACTACAGGCAGAGTGCCACAATCAGTGTGGTTGCACTGGATGGCAGAATTTAGGGGAGGGAGAATATCTGGAATTTATGGAAACAAATTTGTTCAGAATTTATGGTATTGGGTGGGGGGCAATAAAATTTCAGAATGATAGACATTGATATGAGCAGCAAAAAGCCTAGTGTAGCAGCCTCCTGAGTATATGCTACCTAAAATTTGGTGTAATTATAGTATATCTAAGGTTGTCGTGATTCCCAAGCATTGATGGGGGATATTTAAGTGCCAAATAAGTAAAACATGAAAAAAGTGGGTTATTTTACTCTAATTGAAAATCAACAAAATTTAAGCAATCTAATAAAATGAATACTTTGAACAATAAATAAATGCAAGGCTAGCCCAATTATATTTATATTAAATATATTAAGTTGATTTTACTTTATCCACTTTATTTTTTACATAATTAAAAAATTGGCCAGAAATCATTTTAAGATTATAATGCCAAAGGAAAATTGCCTTAGTTGTCGCCATTGACAACCTGTTTCATCAGACCATTGAGTTGAGAAATAGGAAAAATAATTTCATCACATTTGCATTGTGGGCTGGAATGGCAAATACATAGTCTCATAGCTTCATTTGACATGTCTTCTGATCAACATATTTGTGCACTGGCTGTCTCACCCAATGTTTAGGAAAAATACAGGACTGAGTAGTGAAATACAGTAACAATATGTAAGACATATGGAAACCCTACATATATCAAATGGGCAAAAAATAAATCTTTTGATGAAGCATATGCTGAAATGCAAGTATTGATGAAATAAATATTTTATTTTCTTGTGTATTCCTCCCTTTTCCATTAAAAATTTTGCCATTTGAAACCTGTGGATGCACAACATATGTCTATATGATAGTCAAATTAGTCCCAAACCTTTGTGGGCATATAAACATCCATTGCTTTCAAAGCTGTTGTTATGCATATCTTCAGTTCAGCTGATATAATTGGAAGTGGAGGCACATAAATGGAATCTGTGAGAATCCCCTCCCCCACGAGAAGAAATCACACTATGAGAGGTCCAGCAATCTTGCCCAATGATGTTTAACTGAATTGTCAGGTCTTCAGTGGCCAATTGATCATTGAGGAATGCAACTGATGAAAAATTCTCGAACATCAGTGTTCAGGTGCCTTTTCCTGCTGGAAAATGAAGTCATTCAAATCAGTTTCTAATTGTGGTAAAATCCAGTTTTCAAGCATATCAAGATATGTGACTCCCACAACGGAGGGCTCTATGAAAAAGAGGACCATACCCATTTTCTGAGAAATAGTTCAAAAAACATTAATTTTAGGTGAATCTCTCTCATGCTGTACAGTTTGATGCGGATGCTTTGTTCCCCATATTCTAGCGCTGTGGTGGTTGACGTAAACGAAAAGTAGCATTGTCACTAAACAAGAAATGTGTTAAAAAATTATCATTTTGAAGTCATTCACATTCTGAAGGATAAATTCAAAAAATTCCACGGGTTATTCTTTGTCACCTGTATGAAGAGCTTGCAGCAATTGAGTCCTATATGGTTTGAAAAAACAATGTCTCTGCAAAACATGTCGGACAGGTGTTGCAAGGTGTTGCAAGAATGTTAAGTTTCCCACTGGTATGGCAAGTGGATTTGTGTGAACTATATGTGAAAACTGTTGAATGTACTCCATATTTTCATCTGATGTGTGAAGATGGCCAGGTGATTTAACTTTAGACGGACAACCCATGTCTTGAAATTGTTTATACCATCGTCTAATGCTCGGAGGAGTAAGTTGTTAAACACCAGGGTATTGTCACTGAAAATTACGTTGACAGTTATTATGTACTTGTACTTTGTGAAGCTTAGAACACAAAAGGATTTCTGTTGCACAGTCCCCATTAGTCACCACCATTAGTCAGTCATTATTCAATGAAAACAGATTAAAAGGTGAATAGTTTTTTTTTTTTTTGTTTTGTTTTTTTGTTTAATTGGATGATTTTTTTCAAAGCACTGTGTAAATTAAAAAGCACATGTAGAAATACACTAATATTATTACCATATAATCCGGCATATTACATGCACTTTTAATACCAAAAAATAAGAACAAAATTTCTGGTTCAAATTATATGCCAGTTTTAATAATAACAGATATAAAAATAGGGGAAAAATGAGCATAGAAAAATTTCATTTCTACATATACCTAGTAAATGATGTTTAAATAAAAGAAATAACTTATATTGTGAACTTAAAAACTTTCATTTTATCAAATAACAGGAAAAAAAGTTTGTCATATTTATCATCTGTTAAATCTTTAGGCACATCATTGAATTCTGTTTCCTCTTCACCATCATTGTTACTCTGATCCATAAATAATCATCTTCCTTTCCATCTAGATAGTTAGATGTACAACATTTTTTAAATGATTTTTTAATTATGTTGGGTTTAATTTCATTCCATGCTTGTGTTATTCTTTCAAGTTACTATTTCTAGACATAATGCATTTAACTTCCTTTATAAATGTTTTTTTCAGCTTCTAACATCCACATATTCCTCTGTCATTTTTATTTTCTTTGAATGGTTTACTGATAAGCACATCTAAAAGCTGAACTAATGGCATTAATCTGCCTGAAATAACTGCCATGTCTGTATTACACTCTCTCAACAATTTCTTCTTATTATTATCCATTAGATGGTGTCTGAGCATGTCCCAAGCTTAAAGACTTTCTGGATTCTTTAATGGAAGAAGATGCTTTTGAAAAACATTTAACCACAATTGCACAATGTTTTCATCCATTCATCCTTTCTTGTAAACATGAATGAAAACATTTGAGGAATTACATTTCGACATCGCCTTTCTTTTAAAAATAATCATTGTTTTTAACTTTGTACTACTATCCGCTAAGAAGAGAAGCATTACACTGAGATGATATTTTTCATGACCTTTTGTTTCTATGTGAACCGTTTCTGTTCCTTTCACATCACTCATTTTATTTTCTATCATATTAAACATTACTGGTGTATTTCATCTATATTTCTGGTATGTGACAGTATTTTTTTTTTTTCTCTTCATAGGTAATAACATACTTCTGGACTTAAACTTATCAGTTTGGTGTCTAAATCTTTCAGAAGCCTTTGTGAAACTTTTGTTTGTTACACCTTTCTGCAAAGCATATTTATTCTTTGGCATATTAATTATTGTGATTTCATTTTACTCCCATTCATGTATGGAGCTTTCCCTAACACCGGACACCCTTGCTGCAGCACAATATCCATTTCCTTTCACATACCGAATGACTCTGCACTTGGAACCAGCACTGTGTTTGTTTCATTTGACAGGAGCTATAGTTACTGCTACAAGGAACTCAAATAAATTAGAAATAAAGTAGAAACAAATAAAGTAGACTATACTACAAATAAAGTAGAAAATTTAATTGAGTTAAATGAAGAGAAAAATTTTAGAAAAAAGAAATTTAGATAAACTGTATTTCAACTAAAGCAAATGCGATTTACTAAAGCCTTCGATTTTCACTTCATGATCACAGCTTCAAATGATTACAGAGAAAGAAAACATACGACTCCTAATTCCGTAAATTCATTCAGGTTGGTAGTACATTCTGACCCCAAATTATGTTCCCCTTTTTTGGAAACCCTAGAACAAAATTCTCGTATATAGCTGCATTGAATACAACCCATTGTCTCTGTGAAATTATTTACTCAAGCATTTTTCCCCTTATCCCTTGTCAATTTAGTGTATAATTGTTCAAAAATCTGGGGAAAATCTTCAAATAAATTACTTGGAAACTTTTTTTGACATAAAAGTAAGAGCATTGCACATGTATTTTTCAAGTTTCTTCGTAAAGAAAAGGTTGTACGTTATACAGCAAATTTGCCTGAAAATTAAAAAGCGTAGTTTGAAATTATAGCTGCAGGATATATATACCAGAATATACAGTATATTGTATGTACTGTCAAAAGTCTTTAATTCGGACACCCATAATCCGGACCTCAAAGCTACAAACTTTCTGCGCATGCGCACAGGCGTTTACGAGAGCGCGTAAGACCCATACGGCTGCGAATATGTTTGTGACCCAGAGATTATTGAAAACGAAAACATTTCGATTGACAAATTAGTCGGTATTCTCAACACAGTAATTATAGGTTTTGAACAGCGGAACTTTGTAATTAAACAAGAAATTATGTCTGTTTAATAGAATTAAAGAGAAAGTATTATCACATGAAACGAAGCAACTTACATTGAAGGAAATGTTTAATAAAGTAAACAAATAAATATTAAGCTTTTTCTTTTTGTAAATTTTGATACCCTTTAGATCATAATTGTTCTTTATTTCATAAATTACGGTTTCATATTTTTAATTTTGTAATTACTGCATGCCATCTTACCAGATTTAAAGTGATGATCTATAATCCGGAAAAATCGATAATCCGGAATCGCCGAAGTCCCGACGAGTCCGGATTAACGACTTTTGACTGTATTTCAAATGACTTATCAATTTCATTTATGTTTATTTATGTTATAAGTTTCATTTATGTTCTTACAAAATACACTCCTACTTGTCCATGCATTTTACATTATTGCTGTAAATAAGAAATTTCTAAATCTTATGCTGAAAAAATTAAGGTGTGAAGTATGCATGGAAATGAATCATGCGAATAAATATGATAGTAAATGCTCTAGTGGCAACATCTATGTTACTGATATGTGCTTCAGTTGTAAATTTGTAGTGCTGCTCTTCCCCAATACAGTACAACGTCTGTAATCAGGACTCGTCGGGACTTCGGTGATCCCGGATTATGGGTTTTTCCGGATTATAGATCATCAATTTAAATCTGGTAAGATGGCAGGCAGAAATTATACAATTACAAATATGAAACCACAATTTATGAAATAAAGAGCAATTATGATCTAAAGGATATCAAAATTTACAAAAAAAAAAAGCTTAATAATTATTTGTTTACTTTATTAAACATTTCTTTCAATGCAAGTCGTTTAAGATGCTTCCACAAAAAATTCAAAAAGTTCCTTTTCTTTTTTTTCTTGTGTCATCTAATGCCATACTCCTCGAATAATTTTGAGACAGATAGTTTTGATATGCCTTTATCCATTTTTTGCAGCAGTTCCACTTTTTGTTTGATGAACATCGAAACATGCTTCCGCTTTGTAGATCCTTTGGAAGCTCTTTTTGACATAATCGAAAGTTCAAGCTTAATTTTTATAAAATTGCTCTAACAGTCTGCAAAAAATAATAAGGCGGATCCAATTAGAAGATTAAGGAACAGCGCAATCTGCAACATTAACTGAAATGCCTTAGAATCAGCCTAGCTTATGCCGTCTGTTATACATTAAATGTGCATGTGTAAAGCATACCAAAAAAAAAAAAAAAAAAAAAAAAGTTTGTGGCTTTGAGGTCTGGATTATAGATCATTCTGGATAATGGACGTCCGGATTACGGACTTTGTACTGTATTTCTTTCTTGGATAAATCCATCATAATTCATTTTGTGCATTTCTAATTAGAATTATGATAATTCTTATTCTTTCCATCTTGTATATTGTATTTTTTTCATCAGATTTCGTGCTTAAATGTAAGGAATCAATGTCATAGGTGGAATATCCTGTAATAGAAGGTTTAAAGTGAATTCTATATTACTAGGAGGCTAATTCTATTGAACTGAAATTTTTAAATTAATAGTTAAATTGCCATGATAGTAAGCAGTGTTCCCAAAAATAATATGTGTTGCACATCCAGTTTTATTATTATTAATATTATTATTAATTTTGCTTTTGTGACTTTTGAAGTAAAAAATAAATCTTTTGTATTTTATTGATAAGCTCTGCAAAACTTGCCACCAAATATCACAAAAATTGCAGTAACCATGTAATATGCAATCACTTAATGTGAATCAGTATCTAAATGAAATATACTTAGCTGTTTATCTATTCTTAACAAATAATTTTTTTAAGTTACTGATTGGAGAAAATTAAACTCATCTGTCATTTCACTGCCTCATCACCCAGAACAGCACTTGTCAAAATTTTTCTAGATTGGTCCATTTTTATAGATTAGTCTTATCCTCTTCTAAAGCAGTTTTTAGTATATGTTTCTACCATTATACTAATATTTTTAAAATGCAATTAATTAAAATTCATTTGTTTTTATAGGTAATAAATCAATTAAGTTAATAAAAGAAAATTTTTACTTAATTTTAATAATTCAAGGCTATTTGGATAATCCTTTTTAATCTTATTAACTAAAAATTAAATAAATGCTAGTGCTCAGATTAATGAGACGGATGAACCTGCATATTCTTGTATAGCTATTCTGTGTTTGGATGTATGCTGGTTAGGTTAAGTTTGAGATCAGCACATACACTGCTCGACGTTGAAAATGCAACACCAAAAAGGAGTGGTCAGAAAGTGATGAAATTTGGAAAAAAGGACCGAGACAGCAAGCAGCAATAAGTGATCTTTATTTCGAAATGATAGTCAGAATACAGAGCGAGAACGGCGTCAGCTCAGTAGAATGTAGGACCACTGCGGACAGCGATGCATGAAGAAACGCGTCTAGGCATAGAGTCAATAAGAGTGCAGATGGTGTCCTGAGGGATGGCTCTCCATTCCCTTTCAACCATTTGCCACAGTTCGTCTTCTGAGCGAGGCAAGGGCAGAGTCTGCAAACGGCATCCAATCACATCCCACACATGTTCGATTGGTGGCAGGTCAGGAGAGTATGGTGGCCAGGGAAGCCTCTGTATGCATTGCAGAGCATGTTGACAGATGCGAGCACTGTATGGTCAGGCGTTATCCTGCTGAAAAATTGCATTAGGCAGCCCCTGAAGGTAGGGGATTGCCACCGGCCGCAGTACATTATACAAGTATCGTTCGCCCGTCATAGTGCCCTGAATACAAACTAGAGATGACCTGGAATCATAGGCAATAGTGCCTCAAACCAGTATGAGACGTTGTCGCGTGGTGGGACATTTCACAGTTACTGCCAGATTAGATCTGTCTCCACGTCGATGCCACACACGTATGCGGTGACTGTCACTGGATAAACAGAAGCGTGACTCATCTGAGAACACGACCTTTCGCCATTCTGTCATCCACATCGCTCCAGTGCAGCGTTATTCTAAACATTGGCATCTACGCTGTGGGGTCAATGGCAGTCTTCTTAATGGACGCCGTGAGTGCAGGCCACGTTCAACCAAATGACGGGAAATGGTTCTGGTCGACACGGAACATCCAGGGTATCTTGCACGTGCTGCAGAATTGCTGTATAAGTGATTTGCGGGACCACCACAGCTTGTCAGCGGATGCGTCGATCCACTCTGACGTCACTCTGGCCGCACCTGCACCCCTCTTTCTTTCCAGATTTCCTTACTCCAACCATGTTCGCCATAGCCAATGCATAGTGCTCGCATCCATGTAGGTATCAGCTGTGATTTGACGTGAGGACCAACCCGCCCTTCTCAGTCCGATCACCACACCCCTTATAAAATCGTATGTCTGCTGGAAGTGCCTTCATTGGCGGCAGCCTGGCATTCTCTCCTATTACACGTATCCTCTGGAACAAAAACCAACTTTCTTCGATCATTCGTATGGCAGAAATAACGACATGGATATCGCCCATTTTGCACGTTCCTTCTATCGTACTTCACGTGCGTCGGAGAGCTGCGCATTTCACATTATTCGCATAACTCAGTGACATGCGTCTACTCTAAAATTTGCATAAATTTCTGACCACTCCTTCTTGGTGTTGCATTTTCAATGTCGAGCAGTGTGTATCAATTTCAATCTTTTGTTTTTATTTGAGTTACATTGATGAAAATACCTCTCACATAGATACGTAGAAATAAACTGTATTATAATTTTTAAATCACTATTGTACAGTTCACTGTATTCTGTTCTCACTGATAATGAGGTCCAGAAATTAACTATACCTTCTGCTTGGAATTTTATTTTAAGTTTGATGTCATTAGAGTGTTCAATTAACTGTTTTCTTTCAGTTTGGGAGTAGGTAAAAAATTTTGTTTTACACAACTAATCCACAAACCCCTTTAATTTCTTTTAGGTACTGAGAATGGTCAAAGAATTACTTTGTAGGCATTATTTAGTTCTACTTTGAGTTTTTGGTAAAGATATGGCAGTATACTTAGCCACACATAATCAGCAGAAATGGTGTAAATCTTGTTAATTTCATTTACAAAGACCAGGACATTTTTGAAAATCTAAGAGTACCTTAATTGCAGGCTTCAAGGACCACAGTCTGGAAAATGCTGATCTAGAATTTTGCTGAAGATATGCCATAAGAGATAGGCCAAATATTCTACATGTAAGGTATGAAAGAGACAACAAAAGAAGTCATACTTAAACAGAAGTTGAATCCATGCCCATTAATATCAGTTTAGTAACCAGCCATGCTGAATGGAGTAGCTTGAATAAAAAAAATAAGGTATCAATTCATATTCATCATGCATGACACACTGCAGATTATGACATCTGAATTAATTAAAATTCCTATTATACTACAATTTGCATACACCCACATTACTTATTGCCAAAAAATTAGCATTCCAGATTAATTTCCTGAAATTATTCCATGAAATAAAATATGATGAAGAAAGACATTTGTAATTATCACATGATGCTCTGCTGTTTGTGTTTTGTAACCTTTGTGATGTGTAGTATAAATAGCGTAAAACTGTTCAAATAAGTACTAGTTATTTTGTTTCTATAATTCTTTTGAGAGGTAAAGTTTTGTAATGGATTCAAGAATGTGAACAAAACATGTTTGATATTGAAAACATCTTTAGCACAGTATTAATAAATTTTTGGTCTGTTATGTAATGAAATCTGATATTTATCATCCATGAAACTTGTAAAGTAGGCCATTGCACAAGACCCAATATCTTTAATTAATTTTTCTAAAATTTTAACTATTAACTAACAGGACTGTGGAGTCGGTAGGGACTCAGACTCGGAATTTTAAAGACTCTGACTCTGACTCCCTCACATGGGTTACAGCATATTTTTTTAATATAAAAGAAGTAATAGATACTACAGAAAAAATTGATAGCATAGCAAGTTATTTATATTAATTAGTGTTTATAATGAAATGGAAAAACTGGCATTAGTTATTTCTAAAAAACAGTATAGCTTTCGCAAGATCTTCTTTGTTGGAGGACCATAGATTCGATTTGATAAACTTCAGAGCCGAGAAGAGTCTTTCCACACTGACTTGAGTAGGATGAAGAGATGTTACTGTTAGGGCTACTTCTTTTAACTTTTCAGGATAGATTTTTATGAGTTCTAAAAGAGGTATCTTGCAAGAGCAATCATATTTCTCTATTTCTTCAAAGGTTGTGCAGAAATCTTGTTTGTATTTCTTCATTTTTATATCTAAACGCTCTTGGTTCTTTATTTTCATTCGCTTTGCCTTGGCCTTTTCAATATTATTAAAAAATATATCTCAAAATCTAATTCATCACTGAAAGAGGATGATAGAGACTCAGTTGCAATGCCTGCTGTTTGACTGTCCTGATTTGAACACTCTAATTATTCTGAAAATAATTTCATTCTTATTGAAAGTTCATATATGGCTTTCTTTGTTTTCTTAATTTGTTCATCATCCAACAAAATTTGGTGTTTTGAATTTACATATATTGAACCGAGCAAGATCTTATCGTCTAGCACACTAATTTCTCTTTTCTTCATTGAAGAAATTATTCCTTCTGCAATAAACCCTCCCTTTCAGAAAGAACAAACATCACATTCTTCCATTCTTGCCTCCTGTTAATTCTTCAGATTGTTACTTTATTGTGGCTACAGTGTAGAAAGAATAGTTTCCAATTCTGAAATATTATTAGTTAGTGAAACATTAGGGTTAACTGCATCTTCTAAAAAAGTTCTTAATTCTAACAGCCTCTATATCATCAAATATGTACTTCCACATCATGTTGCTTGATCAATTATTACTCTTTTTCCTGCTGTCTTCCTAAGAATGGCATTAATTTTTGGGGTTCTTGCTGCTATTACTGCATACCTAAATTTACCAAGGAGATTTGTAACTAGATCAAGTAACTAAATGAATCAGTTTAATCACTAATGGCAAATATCACATCCATCCTCCTCCCTTATATTTATTTATTCACATTTCAATTAAATAGAAAATAACTATTTATTAATGTATGTAGTCCATTAATAAAATAATAACTCTGTTTGTCATTAATTTGTTTTTTGATTCACTTTAATTTCATTTCAAATTCAAACTGTCCAACAAAAACTGGAGTCAGAGTCGGAGTCGACCTGTTTTTAGTGACTCCAGCTCTGACTCCTTTTACTCCAAAATCTGCCCAACTCTTATTCTGACTCCATGACTCTGACTCCGACTCCACAGGCCTGTTAACCAACTTAACAAACTCAATAGTTTGTAATAAGAAAATGTGCTTCATAGTAATTTTAATCTCTATTTTAATGATATACTGAATTGATGTAATTTAAAATATATTTAGTTTATTGGTGTTAGATTTATAACTACTAGCCATAAAAAACTTTAGATTTTAACAAATGCATTAAAAGGGTCCTCTCCTCTTCCAGGGTTCTACTTTTACTTAGCATGTGAGAGTATCATAGAAATTCATCCAATTAAAAATTTACCATGCATCTTTGTTAAAAAATGAAGTATCCTAAAAACTAAATATAATCATAATTTTGTTTTTCTGAGGAATCGCAGCATGTGAATAGTAAATATTAATAAATAATAAAAAAAAATTTATCTGAAATTTGGCGATAAAAAAGATCAATATTTAAATTTAGCAAAATCTTATTCATTTCAACATTTCTGCTATCGTCAAAACTTAAAGAAACCTGCTTAAGTCACATAAAAGGCAAAATATTTGTATCATATTCTAAATAAACTGAGAATAGTATTGTATCAAATTATTATAAAATATAGTGAAATAGTTTTTAACCACTTAATGACCAAATTTATATTAAAAATTATCTGAAAATCCCTGAATTTTTATAGCATTTTTGTTATCTACAGATATAGCTCACCAGATGAAGCTCTGTAAGGTGGGGGGGGGGGAATCAAGAGGAAAAACGCAAGATATTTATTATGGTTCATGACATTACCAGAATTCACTCGGGCTCTAATGAAGCAGCCAAAGAAAAAAATCTTGCCAAAAGTAATACAAAACTGTAGCCAAGGTAACAATAAGTAATAAGAGCTAAATTAAAAATTAAGTAAATACATTTTACAATCCATAAATTTCAATGACAGTATGCTACCGTCTGAAACATGGTGTAACACATAGCGGCAAATTACAGTCTGCAACAACATGGTAATCTGGTAATCTGCATCGACTAACAAATAAACTGAATTTGCAGTTCATTTATTATGCGGCCATGTCGCCAACTGCAGCTCAGGGTCATGGAGGAACCAATCACAAAAGCCTCTTTGACTTTTCCCACAGCCAAAAAAACATGTATGTCTCAGTGTTGAGGAACCAAACACAAAAGCCAATTGGAACCCCTCCCACAGCTAAAAAAACATGTGCCTGGCAGAGTGTCGATTACCATGTGATGTTACGGGCAAGGCAATAAATATCCCTAAGATTTTCAGCGCCGAGTTAACTCGTTCATAGGAAAATCAAAACGTCATCTATTTCTGAGATATCTCGAATGCAGTCATTAAGCGGTTAATGTAAAAAACTTAAATGTAATAGTAATTAATCATTTCATAATTGTTAAGTATGCTTTTCCCCTTTAAATTTCACAAGATGCATTTATTTTTTTCTTTCTTATTACTCAGAATTTTTAACTATGAGTAGTAATTAAGTGATTATGCATTTTTAAAATACAAATTCTAATGAAACATTTCATAATAAATATCAGTATATGAAAATGTTTTATAAACATTTGAAAATAAAATAAGCAAATAAATACTGCATATATGCAGTATTTATTTGAATGAATAAAACTGAGCAATGGTTCTCATCTAGATATATTTTTCATGTGTGATTTCATAAATATGTTTTTCACGAAATATGTGTTTAACATGTTATCTGCTAAATTACTTAAATATCTTAAAATACCTAAATTATTTAGCCTTGTGTTTGTTTATAGGGTGGAGGCTCTGGAGGTGCTGTAAGGTAAGTTGTTTTGTTACTTTTTTAAGTAATGATATCCTTTTGATATAATTATATTATACATTTTATAAATATTGAGTTTTTAAATATATTTAGGGATGCTGGTGGAAGCTTTGGTAAAATGGAAGCTGCCCGTGAAGAAGAGTATTTCAGAAAATTGGTATATAGATTTTCTAATTCCCCTTATTTCATTCTTCAAATTAGTTTAAAAACCTGTTTGGAAAAAAAAAAATGTTATTATTGTTATATGAGAGTGATGATAAGAATTTGTGGTACTTTTCGTTGAATATAGTCAAACTTGGTGGCAGATGTAAATAGTAGCATGAAATATAACTAGAAATAGAAGTGCTGAAACTAAATAACATATGCATAATCCAAGTTCAAAAAAACAAAACATTTATTTAACATATTTATGAAGAAAAAACGTTCTGAAACAACATGTTTCATCTGCAAAATCAACCAATGCTCTTGCTTCAAAAAGCATTACGCCTCTAACTTGGCACACATACAAAAAAAAAAAAAAAAAAAAAATCGAAGAATTACAGAAGCGGCGTTGCCACACAAGAAAATAAATGTAGTTACAAACACAATAATACACACAATAATAATGCAAAAACACACTTTTGAAAAATAGAATAATAATAATAATAATAAAATTCTTATTTCAAAATAAACAATATTGTCTTTATATGCAACATCCTCCCCCCCCCCTTTTTGAGTCAGTGGCAAACGACTCAAAAACATAGGTTATCCTATTTAAAAGGTCTAGTACATCAAGTTTCTTAACAATCTGTCCTGATGACATAAATTTCTGTTTTATATGTTCTATGTCGGTCTGATCATTTTTCTTATCGTCGTTAGGCTCTTCAATTAAATAATTTTCATCTATTTGTGTCTCTAGTGGATAAATATGCTGAACGGGCCTTATGAAAATCCTGATCTGAGTTCGTAGATTAACTGCTTGAACTTTGGATTCCCCCGACCAGGAATTTTCTGTATAATTTTACTCAAAGGCCAATACAAACGTTTTTTGAAATCTTCCCCTATTAAGACTATCTCGCCAATTTTAGGCAACTGAGTTACTTTATTTTGTGGTTGTTTGATTATTAATTGCCCAAAATATTCTTTTCAGAAATGGTTCCTTAAATCGTTAAGAAGTTTTGCATGGTATTTAATTCTTCTCAGAAAATGCTGAGAGTCAATTTTATCTAAATTTGCTATATCCGAAGTACAATTTTCTCATTTCAATTAACAACATTGACAGAGTTAAAGGGATGTCATCTTCAGAGCGCTCCGAAATACACTCACGTCTAAAAGTTGAGCACGAAGATGTAAAATACAAAAAAATCAACAAATACTGCTTTGATTGACACAAAATTCGTCAGGAAAGTAGCATATATATTTATGCATAAAACAAAATAATTATACACAGAAATGAAAACAATATTAAATTTTTGTAGGTTATCAGTTAATTACATACTGGAGACTTAAACAGAATTATGTATAAAGTGAAAATAAACAGCATAAAATGAAAAAAAAAAAGGACATTAATGGGGTATGTGATCCCTCCCCCTCATCTTTATACAAAGTTTACACTTTATGACCATGCTTTCAATTAGGTGGTCAACCACCGCAGAATTAAGCAATCGCCATTCTTCTTGTGGAGCAGTTTCCAGCTCAATAAGAGTGGCTGGAGGTGGGAAACGTGAAGATACAGCACGGCCGAGAGCATCTTAAAGATTTTCAATGGGATTACGGTCGTGCGAATATGCTGGCCACGCCATATGCGCAATCCCTTCACTCTCCAGGTAGTCATCGACGAATGTCAGCTCTATGGGGATGTGCGTTATCATCCATTAAAATAAAAGTAGGGCCAACTGCTGCAGTGTACAATCTCATAATGGGTTCTAGGACTTCATCTCGATTCCGGACAGCCACCAAAGAACCCTGTTTAAAGATGTGCAGTATCCTAATGAAATCCCTTCCCACACCATAATGCTTCTGCCTCGGAATTCGTGAAGTTTGGTGATGTTTTGGGACTGATTGCCTGTTCGTTGTTTACGCCTTATCCTGATACGCTTGTCATCTGGCTCCAGAGCAAATCTTGACGCATCGATAAACATGACATTGCCCCAGTCAGACACATTTCAATTGACATGTTTCCGGCACCACTGTAATCGTGCCCCTCTTGATTGGACGAATAGAGGAACACAAACTTGAGGTACCCGGGCGTACAGTCCACTCATATGTAATCTTCGGCATACATTAGCTGCAGATATCGCCTTACCAATGGATGCTGTAACCATAGATGTCACAGGTGTGGAGGTTGCTCTGCGATTCCGCTTGGCTACAATAGCAATATATCTATCTTCCGCGTGGGTTGGAACTCTTGGACGACTGGCTACGGGCCTTCGGACAACTGTCTGTGGGGCTTGGAATTGTTTCCTTAAACATGAAATTGCAGAATGATGAATGCCAAAGAAAAGAGCAACATCTGTGATCGACTATCCTGCTTCAATGCACCCCACAGCACGCCAGCGCTCAGAATTTTCCATTCGTCTTCTGGAAGTCATAGAAACACGTATGTCTTGAAAACAAATTGTACATAAGTTTTAAACACCTTCTATTAGCACTTACAATCAACTTCTGTAACCCTTCATAAAGCTGGCTTCTATAAATGCTTTTGAATAACAGAAAGGCGATTGCGTATAATATGCTATTCTTACTTGCGCGATTCTCTTCTTCAATTCTGATTCCAGAAATTAGAATTTTCCTCCCATCTTAACTTGGAAGTAAGTGTATATGTTAAAGTCGAACATATAATTAATTACCGACTCACAATCGCAAATTAAGGTTTTTCTTCATAAGATAAAACCGATTTTCCCAAAGAACGTCTTAAAAGTTCTTTAACCATGCGAACTAGCCGTTCCCACCAACCTCCCCACCAGGAGGCTGTTGGTGGATTGAATTTCCATACTATTCTCTTTATTTTTGCCTCATTCTCTATTATGTCCCAGTTAAGTTTAGACATTTCGTTATACGTTCCTCGGAAGTTAGTCCCATTGTCAGAATAAATGGTTCGTGGTCTGCCACGTCTGGCTATGAATCGTCTTAAAGCCAAAAGAAAAGATTCTGTTGATAACGAAGTCACCAGTTCTAGATGGATTGCCCTGTACACAGCGCATGTGAAGAGTGCCATCCAAACCTTCTTACCGTCTTTCAAAAACAATGGGCCAGCTAAATCTACTCCCAAAATTTCAAAAGCCCTATAATCTCCTACGCGATCTTCAGGAAGAGGAGTCACTTCGCAAGACATCGGTTTCGCTTTATATCGTTGACATATTACACACCCTTTTAACACATTACGCACAGTTTTACGTTGTTTTAGTATCCAGAATCTTTCTCTTAAAATAGATTGAAGCATTTGAGTTCCAGCATGACAATGTTTCTTATGAACTGACTCAATTAACAATGTAGTAAAGATACATTTACTCGGTAACAAAATTGGTGTTAAAAATTCAGAATTGTCTTTGCGTTCCAATATTCTAGTTTTAACTCTTATAATTTTTTCATTATCAATGAATACATCAAGTGGATTAAGAGCTCCAATGTCAGGGAAATTTGAGCTTTGAACCAACCGAATCAAAACTTTTTCGGAATTTATGATTTCAGCAACAGTTAGTTTAGATTCTTTACACAAATTTGACTTCTTCCTACAGTTAGAAATAAAACGTAACACCCAACCGGTTACACGAATCATTTTCTCATAATCAGAAACTCTTTCTGCATACCAAGGAGTGGTATCCTCTGAAAAGTTAACATTAATAAGTTTTACCTTCCTCTTTTCCAAGTCAGCTTCGCTCGGCTGACAAACAATATTGGTAGGCCAAAATTCAGGGCTTTCTCTTAGCCAGAGAGGTCCCTTAAACCACTCCGAGTTAATCATTTGTTTAGCAGAGCAACCTCGAGATAACACATCTGCTGGGTTCATATTACCAGGCACATGCCTCCATGATTCAGGTTTTGTCAACTTAGTAATTTCTTTAACACGATTGCTTACAAAGTTCGACCAATTACCAGGATTTCTGATCCACCATAATGCAACTGTGGAATCACACCATAGGGTTACATTTATATCAAAAACATTAAGACCTTTACAAACAGAATATAATAATCGGGATCCAATGCAACAGGGCGTTAATTCTAATCTAGGAAGCATCAAATTCTTAATAAGAGCCACTCTAAATTTTGCTTTTAAGAGAGAAATTTTTAAACTTCTTGCTTTTACACTTCACATGAATCAACACTTCTCGCGAAAATACATCTTGCATAAGCATATTTGCAGGCATCAACAGATACATGCAATTCAACTGTTGCAAAGGTTCCAATGAAACAGAGTACAGTCAAAAGTCTTTAATATATCAATTCCTATCCGGAATAGATCATCAATCATCCAAATTCCAATCTAGGAATAGGTCAAATTCTTAATCGAGGCTATCAATTCTCTGCTCATAAGAGAGTACTTTTACACTGCATGAAAACACACTGCTCATCAACACATCTCGCATATAATACATCCTGCATCATCAAGCAATATGCAATTCAACTGTTGCAAAAATGAAACCATTGGTAAACATTTTTCAACAAAAATATCAGCACAAAAGTATATCAGATAACCACACAAAAAATTTACTTACAAAATCATGAGGCAATACCTCGTCCCAAGAAAATTTTTCCATGTTTCTTGTAGCAAAAGTTTTGGAAGCAAAGTTATTGGTGTAAGTATTCCAATTGGATCAAAAATTGATTGTACAATAGACAGAATCAGTCTCTTAGTTACCTTAGTATCACAAGTTATCATATTTACATTTATATTACACCTTAAAGTATCATTGTCTAAATTCCACAATATTCCTAAAAGAGGTGTGTCCCCAGAATGTTTTGTAGTATATTTGGAAGCAACATTGCTCTCCCATCCCCTTAAATTAAATCTGCCTCTCGACATAAGACTTTTGGCCTTTTGAATTAAATCCTCTTGTTCCTCAATATTGTAAACACCCGTAATACAATTATCTACATAGAGAACGAATTTTTAATTTGTCAGCCACATCTAAAAAGTCAGATGGACAATTATTCAAGAGATATTTAATAGACGCACCTAGTAGATAAGGGCTGCAGGAAACCCCAAAAACTACTCTGCAGTGCCTATACACTATTTCTCCCTCATCACTTGGATAGAAAAATCGCAAGTAATCTCTATCCTTCGGAGAAATTCCTAACTGCAAGAATGCTTTCTCTATGTCTGCACTCAGACCAATAGGAAAAAATCTCATTCTGTCTAAAATATCAGGGACTAATTCTATTAAATTAGGTCCTTTCAATAAACACTGATTCAAAGATGGTTTTCCCTTTTCACACAAGATGAAGCATCAAAAACGGGTCTTACCTTAGTGCTTTCACTATTCATCTTAATAACCGGTCTGTGTGGTAAAAAGTGGCATTTATTGTTTAATTCCTTTTCCGGAACCTTTTCTATAATATTTAAATTTTCCCACTCTCTAAACACTTCTTGATATTCCTTCAAAGAATTATTTTCTTTTGCCCTCTTTATCATTTTTTGATGACGTGTCAAAGCAATGCTTTTATTATCTGATAAATTGGTAGATTCGCATTTCCAGGGTAATTCTAATTCATATCTACCATCGGGCCGAATAGATAATTTATTCTGAAAATCAATCTCGTAGTCGCAATGAAGATTTTTCGTTTTACTATTTTCCGTCGGGTCGGAAATACCCAAAACTTCAAGCTCCCATAAAGATTTCAAAGAAGCATTATTTACATGTAAGGAAAGACTTATTAGGGCATTATCCCTGACAGTATCATTTTCTTTACCCATAACCGTCCGTCCAGTTTTGTTTTGACCCTGCAGTTAAACCAGAGGGTAATTCTAGGTATTCGTCAGTTAACAGTTTACCAATGACATCTGCACCTATCAATAAATCAATTTCACTTTCCTCGCAAAATGTGTCACTGACCTCAATTTTCCTGCTTTTCAATTCCTCTATAATCTGAGCATTCTTGATTGTTGGAACAAATCCACATATCTTTTTTTCAGAAAAAGCTTCAAAACAACACCTAAAAGTGTTATCTAAACTGCTTATGTCAATAGCAAAAAACAGAATGGGTTACAGGCGCAGTTTCCCTCCCCCCAAACAAACCATGAATTACTTTCTCCTGTCGAATAGGATCAGCCTTCATTCGCTTCATAATTTTCTCCCCAACGTATGATCGTTGGGATCCCGAATCCAAGAGAATTAGAACACCAAATAAATTTTACTCATCTCTTTGTTTTACAGACATCTTAAATGCAAACAATTCTTTAAAATGAAAAACAAACACCTTTCTTTTGTACAAGTTGCCTCTTTTCATTTAAGCTCATATTTTCAGCTTTAAAACACTTAGCACTCATATGAGGCTTACCACAAAATATACAAACATTTTGCTTACCTTTACTGGTTTCATTTGTACTTACCAGCGCGGCAGCTGTTGCTAAATCTGAATTACCTTAAATAAAATTTTTATTAACATGATAAATAAATTACTAATAAAATGAGTAAATGCTGACTGAGCTAATAGAATCATTTCTTCCGATTCTACTCCATGCCTTATAAAATGCATTAGTTTTTCAAGCATTCTTTCAGAACTCTTTTGCTGTCCTTGTTCAGAAGTTTGACTCCTCTCCCAGGCACGTAGAATATTCTCAGGTAGGCGCGACTCTACTAAAGGTTAAAAAAAATCCATAAACTTTTCCTTGGTGCATCCTAAGTTTTGCAGCACTCAAAACATCTTCTTTAAATGTAAATACAAAAAAAAAATAAAATAAATAATAAATAAAAAAACACTAATACAGTTAAAAACAATTTTTGCTATTAAAATTAGAGTTTGTACCCACAAACAAGCCATTCGGCCAATGGAAGAAAGACAAAATTCTCAGTGTACAAAAGTTAACTTTTGATCCCACTGAGAAGACAGTAAAGTAAGTGGCACCAACTAACTTAATTTACTATTCTACGAGTTTTAAATGCAAAAAAATGACCGCCACGTAAGCTTTTAAATTGTAGGTTATTCTAGTACTGTTGGATTAACTGAAGCCATAAAAACCTTAACCTGAACATAAGAACAACATAATTGAACCACTTTTAATTTTAAAAAATGTGAAATTTACCAACATATAAGAATAAAAATACTGAGCTTACCGAGGCAGGTAAGAGAATGGGAATATATATGTGTAAACCTCAAGCATCTAAATTAATTAGTAAATTGGAATAAAAGGAAGGCAATTCCTCTATAATATAATAATTGCAACCATGTATAAGAAGTTTAACACAATATTGAAACTAATCCAATTAATGAGAGAATTCATACTAGAACAATCTTGAAAAATAAAAATGCGAAAAGGAAAATATACAAAATTATGCAAATAAAAATTAATCTCCTTTTGTTGAAACTCCAATTCAGAACTCAAGATGATTAATATGTTTCGTTCTCCTGGTCCATTTGAGATCAAAAACCATAAAAAGATTTCATTAAATTTTTATTAAAGACTTTAAAATTCATATAAAACCGAAAACTCGAATCTCAAATGTACCAGAATTTTCCCTTAAGATTTTCGAAACACTTGGTAAAGGAATAAAACAGTACATAGTGCCAAAATGACAATTAAAAGCTATAGAACTTTACATTATGTGCATTGAAATTTTTTTAAAAAAAAGAAGAAATTTAGTCTAAAACCAATATATGCTAATCCGAAATTCCAAATCAAGTATAAATAAAGAGAAAAACTAATAGTCATTTAAACTAACTAAAAAATTGGGAGGTTCCCGATTATACTAAACTAAACTTTTGATATCAAGAAAATGAAAAACTGTACTTAGAGATTTTTATAATAAAAAGTTTAAATCTGAGCTTTAAACAGCTAAAAACTGAAAACCTATTCGAAACAATAATTGAAAACGCATACTTTCTGAAATCTTAGCTGGACCTTCAATGTTTGATGTAACTGAATTCTAAAGATGACCAAACGATGTTCTTGCTAAAGAAAGTACAATTCAAACTGCTCTGGACGAGCTTAAATTTTGTAGCTACAATTAGAACAACAGTATATATAAATCTAATATATATCCTAAGTCATGCTTTCGAGAACACAATTTGAATTTTATCAATCGGCCCAGTAGAACGGGAGATATAGAACTGTACCCCTCTTTTTTTGGTACAGTGTACATCATTTTAAATAACCCTGCATATCTACAACTGTGCTACCATTTTCATTTTCACTGTACAGTACTTCATGGAGTGGTTTGAGCACTGCATGATGTTTTATTATATCATAAATTTTTATTCCCTAGCAAAGAAAACAATTTGCAAAGTTGAAGGAACATATGAAAGAAGAAATATTGCACCACGAAAAACTCATTCAACAGCATAAAGAAGCAATCCAAAGACTTGAAGAGCGCATAGCACAAATGAAACATTCTGAGATCCAGAAAAGGTCTGAAACTAAAGCTTAAATTTGTGTTATTCAACATGTGTATTCAAATTTATTTCTTTGCAAGGAAATAAATTTTATTTGATATTAAATTCATGTAATGTACTTGAAATATAATGAAATATTTTTATAAAATTATCTTGTTTTTGAAAGAGAATTTAATTGTCTGCTATGATTCAAATGTGATGAATGTAGTTTATATTTTAACATTTTGTTACATTGAAAATGTTATATATGTTTCAGTTTTCCAAAGATAGCATGAAGATAATTAAAATGGGATGTTCTTAAAATTTTAGTGCTTTGAATAAATAAATATATTTTGCTGTTATGTATTAATTTTATTTGGATAGAGTTTTCTTACATGTTTCCTATACTCTTAAGGATGTCATCAATTTTTGAAACATAGGTGGGAAAGGTGCTATCAGTCATACAAAGTGTTACAATTTCTTTCAAGTTTTCATCTGATATTTCAACTGAATATCCTTTCCGTAATTTCAGCTTATCAAATATAGTCTAGAAAAAAAGAAAAATTTTTCTTTGAGTAGCATGTCTTAAAATATATATTTAAAAACATATCTTAAAAAATATTCTTTTTTAATATTTTGAAGTTTCACATTATGAAAATTATAATTGCATCTAACTTTTTTCAATGTTTTCCTGTTTTATGATATTATAATTTGCTGCATGAAATTCTAACTGGCATTCGAAATTTTACTTATACGGTGGTACCTGGTATATGTCGAACTTGGTATACAGCAAACAGCCTTTGCTATAACTGAATTTTCAAGTGATTTTATGTTTTTTCATATAAGAGTTTTTCTAATTCATTAAAAATGAGTTTTAGGAAAGTTAATAGAAGGGTTAAGCAACAAAGAAAATTTTTATGATTATCATGGTGATTAAAAAAAAAGGATTGTTGAAAAGTGTGAAGATGTAATGCATATCTAGTTTGCATACTATATGCCAAGTATGATGGCTTCAGTAATCTTGAAAAACACAGACACTGCTAAATCGGCTGATATTGCAAAGTGGATGAAATCGTTTACTGAACAAAGATCAGAGACATTAAACATGTTGAAAACTTGTTTTTGATCTGGATAGCAGAAAAACATATATAGAGAATGTCATGTACAGTGCTTCATTTATGTACAGTATGTATGTTTGTGTTTGATCCATTGCATTTGTATTTGTGTTAAACAGTGTTGTAATAATAACAATAGGATTTTTATAAGAACTGATTAATTATTCTCCCTTCATTTCTTATTAGCAAATTTTGTTTGGTATACATCCACGAATTGGGAATAGGTTATTGAGATATATATTGAGGTACTAATGTATATTCCCAAACTATTTGGCTAATAAGTATGTATATCAGTTTTTAAAGAAACTAGATTTTTATAAGAACTGATTAATTATTCTCCCTTCATTTCTTATTAGCAAATTTTGTTTGGTATACATCCACGAATTGGGAATAGGTTATTGATAATGTTGAGGAAATAGGTTATTGATAATGTTGAGGTACTAATGTATATTCCCAAACTATTTGGCTAATAAGTATGTATATCAGTTTTTATTTAAAATCCTAAATTTTCCATTTTCTATTTGAATATTATTTTCAAAAAAATATTTGTTTTAGCTCCTTCAATTCAAAAAAGTAAAATAAGAAATGCAATTTTTTAATGTCCTATTTATGGAAAATCTTCCCTCAAATTATTACTCATTTAAAATTTCATTTGACTTCTACGTCTGCAGTATTCTTGTTATGAAATTTACTGATTATTAATCCCTCAGAATTAGGTAGAAATTTAACCAAGCAGTTAAATGTAATGTATGAAACTAACATACTTACACTGTGAAGTTTACAGACTTCAGACTGTGTCATATTTCCATGATCACATGTATAATCACTTATCTGGAAATGCTTTTCTAATATAGCTGTGCATTGTTTTCTGTTTTCTGTACCATCTTTACTATCTATTGCATCAAACTGAATTCTGAATCTTCTTACATTTCCCTCCTATATAAATGAAAGAAAAGGTAATTATGTGATGTTGATAATTGTTAAATAGAATAATGCTATGCCAGTTTTGCTGCAATAATATAGGTTTGAGTTTGAATGCATTTTATTGTGCAAGTTCAGATATTGACATTCTGAATTAACAAATTTAGTATGGTTTTTCTCTGAATCAAGCAATAAATGTCTTACATTTTTCCAAATGGCAACAGATTCAATTGAAAAGTGAAACAAACATTAAAGTGAATCAACTCCAAATCATGATTTAACTAAATAGCCTTTTTGTGCTTGAAAAAAAAAATCTTTAATGTAATATATTTAAATAGCTTCAAGATATTCTAAAGCTTTGCGTTAAAGTCATGCAATGTTGAATGTAAATTTAAGGACATTATAGGAAATATTTTTCAGAAAATGGTTATCTTTAAAAAGAACTTTGTTAAATTATAAATAAACTGACTTCATACTTCATTGGCTACTTCAATGGGCTCAAAATGACTGCATGCAGCCCATGAATACATTTCAATTATGCAAATACGGTGCTGCAAAGGTTGTAATATTTTAGTTATTTGAAGTCTGAGTTTACATTACTGTTATTACCATTAAAAATGAACATGAATAATGCATCAGAAAATCTATAATTGGAGCTCATTAATGTAGGTATAAATCTTATTCAGGGATTTGAAGGTATAGATTTTATTAACTTTTATTCATACTTGTCAAAAAATAAACAAGCTTAATTACGAATGCTTGCACTAAAACTAATCTTTTTTTTTGTGTGTGTGTGTGTGTGTGTGTATGTGTGAATAGATATATGTGAAAAGCATTTTCCCACCACCACCATTGAAAATTAATAAGTACTTGATTGACAGATGAGTATCTGCGATCCGATCCGCAATGAAAATAATTTCTAGTTATCTCTTTTCAATGCTACAAAGTTTATCAGAATCGAAATGACATGCAGTGTAAAGCTAAAGTAAGAAATAAACGACTTTAGGATTATTTGCATACAAACATGTGTATTTTAATTTATGCGTCGAAAAAATAGTTAATAAATAAGAGAAACAAAATGTATTGTTATGATTTATTCTTAAATTTTGTCACTCTTGGAAAATTTTGTTTGAAAACTTAAAAGTTTTCATAATTTTTACTACCTTGTACAAAATAAAGAAAGTATTGTGATTATGAAAACTTTCAGTTATTAGATTTCATCCATTTGATTGTTCCCAAATCCATTTTGACTGCTTTTTTGCTTGACATTTGTAAATACGGACAGAATAAATGACTCTTCCAAAACAGACTTTTTTCATGACCTCTGTTCATATGTACGTATGTGTCTTAGATAGCTCAAAAACTATTACCCATAGAACATTGAAATTTTATGTATAGAACTACTATAACATCCTTTTACCTGATTTAAAAATTCCTTATCTGTCCTTTATTTTCATAAACGTTGGCCGTAGTCATATACTTCCAATTACACAAGTGTTTTAACCTTTTCCGGCACACCAAAAATATTCCCTCTATAGACACTGAAAATAATCGATAAATATCACGAAAACTACACTAATGGTTAGTTTTAATCTCTTTTATGAATAATAGATGGCAGCACTGTACAAGCAAATTAATGTTGAGATATATTCAGTTTTTAAAGACACTGATTTTTCAAAGAAATGTTTCAGATTATTTTTTATTTAATATAAACAATATCAGTGAAAAAAAATCTTTGTATAATTCTGTTGTTTGTATGTTAATCTGTCTATTCTGTATTACTTTTAATTTCATCTTTGAAATATTGTGTATAGTGAAGCCTTTATTTAGTGTATGGTGTGTTCGGACTGAACTCACTGTACTGGTAGCACCTGTCACGTGGGAGTGAGTCATAGAATCTAGTCTCGTGCTTCAAACACGGGTGAGGCAGAAAGTGCAGATTTATTTATATTTGTTTTTATTCTTTTCTGTTTTTGGTTTGGAAGACCCTGGTGCTTTGTTTTCACTTAGCTATTTGATTTTCAGTAAGAACAGACCCTTTTTTCTCTTGCTTTCATCATGCATAGTTTGCTTAGTTTTAATTTCTGCATATTTTTATTTAAATACATATTTAATAATTATCTTTTCTAGTCAATAATTAATTGTAAATATTATAGTATTTTAATAATTTTTCTTATGAATTTTAAAATTGTGTAAATGGCTCAGAAAGGCCTCAGCATTGCCGAAGCAATGAGAGTTTCCTTTTTTCCCCCCAGTTTTTTTTGGGGGGCGTAGAGTAGCAGGCTTCCCGTGGTGCACCCTGGGTTATGCTAAATCTTCTACAGAGATCAGATTCTACTGTTTTTAAATCATAGACAAAGTATTTTACTGTAATATGTTCTTCACAGCAATGCTCACCTATCGCAACTCGTGCAGCTCAGTGTGTTCGCTTTGGACACACCCACAAAATGGAAACGGTTTGTGCAATCTTTGTAAAATTATACCTGCATACTCTCCTAGGCCTAAATAGAGTGCATACAAATTTTTTTGGTAAAATTCCAACTTTAAAGAGTAGCATGCCGGAAAGGGTTAAATGATAAAAATATTCATTTTTTGAAAATGTCATATTAATATCTATTTAAATTTAACAAACATTCTATTCGTAAAAAGCAAATTTTGAGTTAATTAAATTTTAAATAATGAAATTTATTTGCAAACAAATAAATGATATTATTGCTGCAAACTAATATCTATTTATATATATTGGGCAAATAACAAAATCTAACTTTTAATGCGGTGTCCTGGTTCCTGTACTTATATTTGGAAAAGTTTTATACTTGTTATGAAAAATAAAAGTACAAGAAGTTTGATTACCGTGTGACAAATATTGACTGGGATATTGAATTTCAAAATTTGCAGTTTTTGGTATCATTTTCAACTTGTCTTGAAGGATCAGTTAATTAAGGTAGAATAAATCGATGCAAAATCATTGTACTAGAGGAAAATTATAAAAAGTTAAGAAGACAAGAAAAGAAAAAGACTGTTTTTATATGAAAAAGAAAGCATATGGGGAGGAACAGTTTATTGACATCGAAAAACTAAAAACACAAAAAGAGTTGACAAATTTTACCAGAAAATCAGTGCTCTATCTCGCTTTACCTGTCCCTGGACTATTACTTGGAGACAAATGATTGAGTTGAAGTGCTGAAAAGATGAGAGAGTTCTTTAGAGACAGGGTTCGTAGCGGTCCTTACAAGTGCTTATAAGTCCTTATATTTGAAAATAAAATATAAAAGCCCTTATAGGTCCTTACTTTTTCTCTAAAGCACTTTTTTTTTTTTTTTTTT